GAAGAAGGCAGTAAGGGTGAGTGCTTTGTCAAAGCTGAAGGTGCCATCTGCCCCAATATAAGGTATGGTTGTGACGGGGTCCAGTCCTCTGAGTGCCAGAGTGCCCCGACAACCGGCCCTGATGGGAGACTGCAGTAGTCTTAGCACTTACGTACATTTGCAACTCGAGCCATTTGTGCCTTCCCAGATTTGGAATCTTGCTGTGCTGTTGGTTTCTTTCCATTCAAGCCCATTTCTTGTTTTGTCAACCAGGGATCATACTGCCTCCTACGAAATCACAGGATATGATTAGCAGCACTTTCAGAGTCTCTTTATTGTTGCTTTAAAAGAACAGATGCAATCGTATTGCAAGTCCTTCCGGTTGCTCGCTGGTCAAAGGAAGAGAAACCTGCGTGTCCACCTGTGTCCATCCACCTCTCCCACGCCCGCCACCACACACTGATGCATACAGCTGTTTTCCCGTTTCTCTTCTCTCTTGCTTCTTTTATCTTGTGCATTTTTAGCACATGTTGTGACAAGTCTGGGTGGTTCAGTCTGAAAAAATAAAATGACTGCAACAATTGTTACGAGAATGAATCACACCTATATACAAAGAATGCAGAATTCTGTATAGAAATGGGAAAAAAATCATTTCGCCTCACTCTACATAGTAGGCTCCGCTGTGTTAACCCACACCTACCCTAATCTTGCCAAAGCAGAAAACATCCCTCTGCCTAGATATTCCTAGGCAGGTGCACTTGGCAGCATTTCTCCGCCCCCCCCCAGAAGGCCACCCAAGACAACGATGAAAAAGACGTCACTTCAGAGAGTTTGGGCCAAGTCACATTCAGATAGAGTTACAGTCTACTTAGGCCAAAACTTGTACAAAAAAGTGGATACAATATATTCAAAACCCTTTGCCTTGTTCATTCAAGTTCAGGCTTCCTCTGATTCTGATTTCGGCATCTCCAGCTGCTGGCTAAATTGCTGAGAGAGGACTTGAACAGCTCTGTAGTGTAGCTGGGGGCCAACTACAGCTCTACGAGACAGGCTCCCCATATCTAAGTTGGTTGTTGGACTTCCTCTAAAATGTCATCCTAATTATGGGAACACCTTCCTCTCCTGCTTATACACAGGTTCTGATCATCTTGTATCAAGACAAACCCTCTCTCTTTAGCCATGAGTAAAAATGAAAGACTAAATAATTTTTAGGACCCCTTCTTGGGCAGTTCTAGATTAATTCATTTCTTGGTCAATGATTGGTACACTGATGGGGCTCAGTCCCATAATTGCCATCTGGATCATAGATGTATGCATGCCCCATGGTCTCTGACTCTTTCATCCTTGGCCATCAGGAAGGAGGGACCCTAAAAGGGCCTTGTGTGGCTGATGTGAAGACCATGTCCACAGCCCACAGGGTGCTAGGCAGTCCTCAGTCTTGAACTCCAAGGCACTAACGCCCTTTTAGAGAGCACCGAGGGGCCTAAATCGGAAGTCAGACCAGGGCTGTTTGAGGCTGCCTTCAGAATGAGGAATCACTCTAGACTCCTCAAACTCCAGGACCAGGAATGCATGACAGCCAGTGAAACAACAAGGGTTGGGGGGGGTGGGGGAATAAGACCATGGCTCCCCCTGTCCCTCTAAGCCTTCTGAGGCTGCTTGTCTGGGACTTGGGAGCTAACAGCCGAGCCTGGAGCAGTCAATCAGGCATTCCTCAATATGCCTGGCTGAGTCTGGACTGGACATTCAGGTTGCTGCCAGGAAATGGAAGAGAGAGCTGGTCTGGAGAGAACAGCTGTGTATCAATCTGGCTGGGAAGGCCACTCTGTGGATCACTGAGGAAGCAAATGGGAGGGAAGAAGTGGGGAGAGAAAAGAAGAGAAGCTGGGAGTAATGGGGGGCAGCTGGGGGAATGGAGGTCAGGAGCAGAGTAGGTAGTTCATGCTCAGGGTGGAAGCAGACGGTGGGGAAAACAGATGAAAGACCAGAGCTATGCACCTAAGACATGGAAGGTTCAGGAGACAAGGAACTGTTCGGTGAGGTATCTGAAATTCGGTTCCTCTGCGGCTGGCAGGCCTGATCTGTGCTCTGAGAACAGCTTGGCTGAGGAGGAGGAGGATAGCAGACAAGAAGGAATGAAGGAGGAGTTCTTACAGGAACCTTAAAAAGTCTGGCTGATTTGCTTCTAGAGCTGTTCGGAGCTATCCAACTGTTGGCATTCGCTGGGGAATCTTCAGTACCAACCGCTGTGTTAAATTAAATGAGCACCAGACCCCAAGTGTATCTTGGATCCCACCCTCCTTTCTTGTTGCTCTTCCTATTTGCAACTCCCCCAAACCTGAAGTCTTCAAGGATTCAAACATCTGCCATTTTACCCTGTTTCCCATTTCCCTCCTGGGCCCCTGGGACACACTCTCTACTTAGGAATCTGCCGTTTAGCCTTTCTCTCTTTTTTTTTGCAAACACAGGTCTCTCACTCCTCCTCAGCTTCCAAAGACCATGCCCACCAGGCCATCACCATGATCCGAGGTAGCCCCCGCAATCTCTATTATCTCCCTGAAGTTACCCGAGTGTACCCACAAACCTTACATATGCCGTACACACTGCTCTGTGTCTGGCTCTTTCTCTTAAATGTATTTTTAACATCTTTCCACCTCAGCATAGGAGATTGACCTCATTCTTTGTAATGGCTTTATGAAAAGAAATCTACATTAAAATTCTAATTAAAAAATTTTAAAACAGGAGACAGATGGTGGTGATGGTTGTTCAATGGCGTGAACACACCGAGTGCCACTGAACTATATACTTAAGCGTGGTTACATTGGTATATTTTATGTTTTGGATATTTTACCAAAATTAAAAAGAAAATTTTTTTTTAAGTTCCCCAGGTAACAGAGCTGCAACACCAGCTCCCCCTTCCCCCTCCCCCTCTCTTCCCCTGATCAGGTCAGCCAGCCCGACATTTTGGGGACACCTACTCTCATTTGCCCCTTGCCACCGTTCAGGCCCTTTCATTCTGGAGAACCTAAAAGCAAAATGACGATCTGTATTTCTTTATGGAAAAAGATGATATCCCTTCTAGGGGGTGGCTGTTAGCATAGCACGCACGTTAAGCGTCACGAAAGCTTCTCTCCTAAGCCTGTCAGAAGTCAGCCCAGAGCTGGTCTTACCATGGGCAGTCCTCGTCCTCGCACTCCAGAGGATAGAATCCTTTTCAGCTCTGGAATGCCTTTCATCCTCAGTGTTGAAAGCTTTGCAGAAATTAGGCCAGGGCTTGTGAAACAATTCAAGCTCCATCACAAAACAACCCCAAAAGTCTGTGCTGAAGCCTCCTTGTGCTTTCTTTTCTTTTCTTTTCTTTCTTTCTTTTATTTATTTATTTATTTATTTATTTATTTATTTATTTATTTATTTGACAGAGACACAGCGAGAGAGGGAACACAAGCAGGGGGAGTGGGAGAGGGAGAAGCAGGCTTCCCGCCGAGCAGGGAGCCCGATGCGGGGCTCAATCCCAGGACCCTGGGATCCTGACCTGAAGGCAGACGCTTAATGACTGAGCCACCCAGGCGCCCCTCCTTGTGCTTTCTTTAACCGGGCGTGTTGGTGTCCTTGACCCAGCTAAAGGGCTTGCACAAGTGACAGTCTCAGGTAAGTTAAATCCCCTGAAATTCCACACCAGGGGGTGTACCTATATGGTTTAACGCACCTCCATGGATCCACAGACTCTGGAGCAGGTCAGAGCATAGGGACCAAAAGCTGGTCCAGAGTCAGCATCGTGAGACCTTCAACCCCAGCCTGACAGATTGCCCCGGAGCCTCAGTTCGTCTACGCCACATAGAGAAGTCAAGGACAAGTATTGCCTTGGCCACAGACTGACTCAGGGCACCGACTCAAACACTTGCCAAAGGGGCCTTAGTGACCTGGCAGTGACTGTGGTACCCGAATTCTTGTCTCTCCCTGCTAAGGAATCACTTAAGATCTCAGGTTTATTTATTATTATTTTTTAAAGATTTCATTTATTTATTTGACAGAGAGAGTGCGAGCGCACAAGGAGGAGGAGTTGCAGAGGCAGAGGGAGAAGCAGACTTCCCACTGAGCAAGGAGCCCAATGCGGGACTCGATCCCAGGACCCCGGGCTGGAGGTAGACACTTAACCAACTGAGCCACCCAGGTGCCCGAAAATCTCAGGCTTAAAAGTCTCACTATCTCCCATATTTGAGTAGATTGGCTCCGCGGGTTTGTCCAAATCCCATCGGTAAGGTCCCGCACAAGGAGGTGATTCTGTTGGCGATTAGAATTTCCCCAACGTTTTGTCACTCCCTAGAGTGTTAAGTTATGCCCTGCCACTGCATACATCAACATTTCATGGAAGGGATGTTTGGTTTGCTGAGGCATGGCCCTGAACTTACAAATTCACTGGAGATTCTTTTTGGTTTTCTCCTTCTTACATGGTAATTAATAGCCACTTCCCTGGAATGGCTCATCACGTGATGTGGGAAATAAAGGCAAAAGAAAAATTAAATGTTCTTACTACTTACAGCCCATTGACAAGTCCTTGAAACAGGCAGAGTGACCTTCCTCTAGGGACTCAGCTGCCTCGATGTTAATACTTTGCTTAAGGGCAAAAGGCAATCTTAGCCCGACCCCCAGGATCCTGTAAGTCTACTATAACATATAAAGGTTCCTTTGGAAACTTCCTTTCTCTCTACCCCCTCCCCCAAGATATATGTTGGCAATCATCCCCCAAGCAGATGACCCACCAATATGCATCAGAAGGATCTCATGACTAAGGTTTTATCAGACCGTATTAAATGACCTTTTCCCAACAACAGCTAGCCCCCTCAAGGTCCTGGAAACCTTGCTTCCAAAATTCCATAGAGATATACACTCTCCTGAATCCCCTCCCACCTTGAAAGTATATAATGGGCCACTCCTCATGACCCCAGTGCACCAATTTCTGCCCACGGGTCCTGTCCTGGTGCTTTCATAAAACCACCTTTTTGCACCAAAGATGTCTCAAAAATGCCTTCTTGGCCGTAGGCTTCGAACACTAACGTCTTTCCTGCATCATCACGTGGCCCACTGCCCCTGCATTTCCGCGGCTCGAGGTCTGTGCATCCGGGAATTCTACTCCACTGCCCCCTCTACTGGAGGGAGGATGACCGACTCACACACCATTCCTTCCACTGTGGACCAGCCTAGCTCAGGCACAGTTCGGCTTGAAGACACAGAAGCCCGGGAGCGGCAGAGACTGGTGGCTACATTCGGAGGACAATGGAGTTGCCACAGCCTTTGTGTTTTCATTTCCCTGCTGCTTTTCCTCTGAGCGCAGCATGTTCTCAGACCTCATTCTGTGACTGAAGTCGTGGCAATTACCCTATAAGGTGAAGGCAAGGAGTCAGGACAAGCCCCACGGAGGTCAGAAGGGCCCAGATCTCCTGGCATGCTGCTTTCCTTGCCCTGGGCTGCTGGCTTGCCATAAGGCCTGCTAATAGACCATTTTGTAGCCTTTTTAGAGCTGTTTGCGGAAAATCAAGAGACTTTACTTGCAGCTAAGAAAAGAAAATATGATCAACTTTCAATTCCGGTTTTTATATTCTGGGCTGCTAGCTGGCAACCTTTTCCGGCTCCGGGACACCTGAGAAATAGCACAACTACAACAGGGGTTATGTGCTCTGTAATCCTTTTTACCCAGATTCTGAATCAGAACTAGCCTCTTGCCCAGCTGTGCACCCCAAGCCCTCTCCAGGGGGTACGACAGACAGACGGCTCAGGCGCGGGACAGGCAAGCGTAGTTTGGAAAAGTTGCCTCCCTAGGTCTGCGGTTGTCAGAGCGGCGTCCTTCGCTCCGCAGAAATACGAATCCTCAGCCCCACCCCAGACCCGCGCTTCAGAAACCCGGGGGCTGCGCCCAGGGAGCCCTCCAGGTGAGTGTGAGTGCGGGCCTGGCTCCAGGCAAGTCTCTGACTTCCATCTGTCCCCCCACGAAGAGTCAGGGTTCCAGAACAGCGCCTCTCAGCCTCACCTGGGAGCTTGCACAAACTAGGGAGGCCCTAGCTCCAACCCCTAGGGGCTCTGATTGGACTCATCCGCCAGGGGGCGCAACCACAGCTCTTCACGTGGTTCTAACGGACTGCCGGGTTCAAGAACCACTCGTGCTGTTCTCTTTGCAGACTTCGCAGCCCCACGAGGAACCACCTGTTTCTTCCCCACCGCCTCTTCCCAGCACAGAAGGAAATAAACTGGTCCAGCTGGTATTACTGCTTGTAATGCACCAGCCAGGGAGACGACAGGAGATAAGACAGAACCCTGCCAAAGGCGGGAGCTTGGACTCTAACTCTCCACCCCTAGTGCTGGCTTAGGGGCTTCGGCAAAATGAATTCCTCTGATGTTCTACGCTTCAGCTGCCTCACCCCCAAACAGAAATTGCGTTAATAATTACTTCCTTTCTTCAGGTCAGATAAGCCAGCTGAAGTCTTTCCTAGCAGAAAAGTACATTTCAGATTCTAAGGGCTTTTAAAAGGTCAGAACTGGTCTTCGGCTTAGAATTGCTAATATTGATTTGACTCTCTCTAGGATGGGCAAGAATATTGTGAGCTGGTCAATTTTGTGTTTTTCCAGGGTTGACAAATATGAGTGGAGCCAAAAAGAAGTTGGTACTCAGGCAAAGAGATGCCCCAAAGGAAGCCGCTACAGTGGTTTGTATTCTTATTCTGCCCTAAGAGATTCCACTGGGCACTCACCAGTCTGTCTGGAGAACAGGCTGCTTTCACGTTCAACCCGGTTCCCCCATATTCACGGGCATCTATCTGAGTCCTTTTGCTTTTAGCCAGCTACCCGCCTTTCTTCCTAACTCCTCCTTTTAGCTTTTTTTGTTTTTTTTTTTCCTGGCTCTGCAAAAAATGTACAACAATCAGCCTGGGATTAATCTCCGAGGAGCTCGTCTGTGTGGAAAAACAAGTAGAATGGGTCAGGATGGAGAAAGGGAATAGAGGGAATAGGTCAGGTGTTTCCTTAGCCAGACACTTAATTAAAATATGTATATTATTTATTTATTTATTTATTTATTTAGTATGGTCACTCTCTTCTTCCCAGAAAACAAAATAGTTTGGTATTCCACCCCCCCCACCACACTGTGCCTTCTAAACACTTAATAAGATTAGAAGACTGTGGGAAGACAGTAAATTGTTTCCAAGTGACATTGTATCAATAATACTGTGTAAATAGTCCAGTAAACCTGCAATGTCTAGGAATTCCTTCAAAAAGAAAAACTGAAAATGGAAGGAACTGGGAACTTCCCAGCTGGGGCCTGGGTCACCACAGGCACAGCATAGATCTGGATACTGGGTTGCACACACTGGTGTCCCACCTTCAGTTCAGATGCCCACTGCTCACCCTGTTTCTGTAATAGAGAACATCCCTCTCCCAGAGGGGATGCACAGGAAAGGGACCTCCCACAGCCAGTGAGCTGCAAAGCTGCCGAAACCCCAGCCCTTTCTCAGCTTGAATTGGAGAGATTCAGGGCAGCTGCCTACAAATGAGAGCTGTGCTTTTTATTTGGTGTTGGGATCTAGACAGGTGCCTTTTATTCTCTTTCTCGTTTTCTCCCCTTGCTGCTGCTGGGACTAGCCCTCCGGAGGCCAGGTCTTCAGTCCCATCATGCCACCTAGAAATTCTCAGGGACACAGGTAAGCATTTAGGTGTGCAGACCGCACACACTAATTCTTGGACTGCCTACTGCCTTTATGACTGAAGGGATTTTTGTGTGCTGTTCAAGTGTTCGGTTGGGTCTTTGAATCAATCTTGCTTCTAATTGGGAGGATGACTAACTTCTATTATTAAACCCTGATGAGACAGAGTAGCCTCCAAGACAACTTCGACCTTTTGGTTTTATAATATGTGCGTCATAAGACAGCTTTTCAAGGTTACTTAGGCAACAAGCTCGTTGTACAATTCCACTATGCATAGAACTTGCCTTCCAGTGAAATAAACTGGTCCAGCTGGTATGATTGGAGGGTCCTGGGACTGCTTGAGGCCCAAATTCCTCTCTTCCGTCCTATTGTTTATACCTGAAACTTTCCCCTACTGGTGGTTAGTGATGTACCCGTGCGAAAGTACAAATACCCCTCAAGAAAGCAGCTTATTGATTTGCCTGAACCATACTTGATTGACCAGATCCTTTTCAATATGGCACCCGTTTAAAAAGGAGTGGGTTGGGGCGCCTGGGTGGCTCAGTCGTTAAGCATCTGCCTTCGGCTCAGGTCATGATCCCAGGGTCCTGGGATCCAGCTCCGCATCGGACTCCCTGCCCCGTGGGAAGCCTGCTTCTCCCTCTCCCACTCCCCCTGCTTGTGTTCCCTCTCTCACTGTGTCTCTCTGTCAAATAAATAAATAAAATCTTAAAAAAAAAAAAAATCAGATCCCTCTGGCTTCCCATTGGACTTGCTTGATAAACCAATAGAACATTACTTTGAGCCCCGATCTGCAATGCAATTTATTTTATAAAAAAGATAATGGTAAGGTGTACTAGCGTGTCAATTTCTGGAAATGCCCTAAATCCTAAGTTAGCTTTCCTTTATGGCTACCTATCACCCACCTGTTTAAAATTAGACTTTAATTCTTCAGATTGTGTTGAAATCCTACTCCAATCCCAGGCAGAAAAGTTCTCACGTACTCCCTTCCCCTTCCCTGCATCACACCTGCTGTCTTAGATCCTACATACAGAAGTGAGCTTCCAAACACCTAGGCTGCATGACAGCTGGACTTCATTCTTGTTCCGGCTGGGGCCAGTTGTATAGGCCGGTCCCCAGTATGAGCCCCGGCAAAGAAAAAGAGCTTAATAAATAAATGTCTGTGGGAAGAGGGAGAAAAGGTAAACTTACATTGAGTAAGCTGCCTCTGGGCTCGGGAAATGATTTTAGGGTCCTCCTGGGAACCACACATCAGGAGAATCCAATCTGGGAGAGTGTGAGGACATAGAGGAGGGGTGTGTTGAGAGAGTCCTTTGAGAGACCAGAGTTGAGTTGCCTCTGATTTGAAATTTAGGGAAACTGGGTGAAGTGTAAGAGCTGAGAGATTAGATGGCATTTCAGGCATTTTGGAGGTGGGGTGATGGCAAAATGGCTTGGATCAGGGTGAAATACTGAAGAGAGGAAAGGCTTCACGGAGACGGAGAGAGGACTAGGTTCAGGATCACCTAACAGGATGCCGTGGCTAAAAGCATTCAGGATTGGGGGAAGGGGGTAGACCTTGCTAAGCCTATTTTTCTTAGCTGACAAAGAGCTCCATCCAGTCCCCTCTCTGCAGCTGTACTTTCTTACAGATGTGAAGGTGGCACCTTTATGTATGTTCACATCTCTGTTCTAATTGATTTTTTTTTTAAGATTTATTTTAGAGAGAGAAGGGGGGAAAGAACAGAAGGAGAATGAGAGAGAGAGAATCTCAAGCAGACTCCCTGTTGAGCGAGAAGACTGATGTGGACCTTGATCTCAGGACCCCGAGACCATGACCTGAGTCGAGATCAAGAGTCTGTGGCTTAACTAACTGAGCCACCTAGGCACCCCCTAACTGGTTTTATGGCAATTCAAAGCAGTGGTCTTTACAGAAGTCTGTATTCATTTGAATATAAGTTTGGTTGCATAGAACAGAGTCTAAAACAACAGAGGCTTCAGCAAGATAAGCGTATTTTTCTCTCTCTCGTAACAGCTAAAGCTGGAGTGGTGGGTGTTCTCTGCTAAGTTGTCAGGGCTCTGGCTTCTTTATCTGGTTGCTCTGTCTTTCCTAGGAAATTGATTTTGTCTGGATGGTTCTAGATGGGTCACCCCTGTGTCTGCATTCCAGCCAGCAGGAAAAAGGAAATAGGGAACATATCCCTTCTCTTTAAGGACATGACCCAGAGTTTCACACTTACTGTCCCTGTCACCTCCTTTGGCCCAGGACTTAGTCTCATGGCCACACCTACCTGCAGGCAAGGCTGAGAAATTCAGTCTTGTTTCTGATGGCCCTGTGACATTCCTACAGGAGGTTTCTCCACGCTGACCCACCTAGAACTAACTTCCAAGTTCTCATCTGCTGCTACACTTGACTTGACTTTTGATTTAGGTCACTTTCTAAAGACCCAACTTCAACTCTCCTTATCTGGAAATGGACATATCCTCCTTTCCTTAATCCAAATAAGACAATTTAAAAAAGGAAAGTGAGGGGAAAGGAACATTAAAAACACTGACTAATATTATATATGCTCACAATTTATTTATGTGCATCAGCTACTCTTCCAAATACTCTATTTAGTTTAACTCATTTGATCCTCACGACACCTTTATAGGTATAAGTACAATAATTATCAAGATCGCTCTTTATAGGTAAAACAGAAATTAAGTTGCTTGTCCAGGGTGATTGCACAGGTTGTCCAGAATGAGGTGTGTCTGCCATATACATGTAGGGAAGACGTTAAAACATCAAATTTATTGGAGCCAAACACAGGGTTCATACAATCCCTTGCTTGAATTTTTTTTTTTTTTAATTCATTTGAGACACAGAGATAGAGAGAGAGAGAGCATGAGCAGGGGGAGAAGCAGAGGGAGAGGGAGAAGCAGGCTTCCCACTGAGCCGGGAGACTGAATGGGGGCTCGATCCCAGGACCCTGGGATCATGACCTGAGCCAAAGGCAGACGCTTAACCATCTGAGCCACCCAGGCGCCCCCCCTTGCTTGAATTTATGCAATGGCTCTTAACAGGTATCCCTGTTTCTACCCATATGCGCCTCTGAAGTCTATTCTCAACATAGTAGCAAATGTGTGTGTTTTTTTTAAGATTTCATTTATTTGAGCGAGCGAGAGAGAGACACACACACACACGTGAGTACGAGTGGGGGAGGGGCAGAGGGAGAAGCAGACTCCCCACTGAGCGGGGAGCCCAAATCCGAATCCAGGGCTCGATTCTGGGACTCTGGGATCATGATCTGAGCCAAAGGCAGACGCTTAACCGACTGAGCCACCCAGGCACTCCTGGTTGTTGTTGTTTTTAATAAAATATGAGTCAGATCAGGTCACTCCTCTGCTGACAGCTCCCCACTTCACTCAAAGACCCAAGTTCTCTGTCACCAGTATGATCCAACCACCTCCCCATTAACCTCTCTGACTACTGCTGCCGCCTCCCTGCCCCTCAGTCCCAGGGTGAATACATTCTCCTCTGACCCTTCTACACCACCTCGTGTATGCATTAAAGCATCCCATATCTGTGTGATTTTCTGGATTCATTTGTGTCTCTTTCAGGAGACGGTATGCTCCTTGAGGGTAGGGACATGTGTTCCTAGTGCTTGGCGCATAGTGGTAATTCCATGTGTTTGCTAAAGAAGAATGAACGCTTGCAACACCCCCAGACCCCACCTAACTCTTCTTTCAAATCCCGCTCTCTGGATGGGTCTGATAAACTCAACATACCCAGATACAAATGATCAATATGGTTGCATGTATTGATCCTTCCAGGGCTCCTGGCTTTCTAATAATAGGCAGAATCTTAAGTCAAAGAATGGTATTTAAATGCAGAGCAGGGATCACCTGCCGGGCCCCATGGGAGGAGCGAGCGACTCTTGATTTGGAGGTTGTGAGTTCAAGCCCTATGATGGGTGTAGACATTAATTAAGAAAAAAATCTGAAAAAAATTTAGAGTAGCAGCAGGGGAGGGAAGATTTGCCGGGGGGGGGGGTGCTGGAAACACTTCCTGGCAAATCATATAACAACACTGGTGGATGTCTGCTCTGTTTGTGAGCTGCTAAGCTGGTACTCCTGAATCAAGACATTGCTAAGCGTCTCCCCTTTTATTGCCTCAGAGAAGGAAAACACTTGCCACTGAACCAAGAACAGTTCATTTTTTTCCTCCTTTACCCTCACAAACTCCACTCCTATTTTTAAATTTTACTTATGCCTTGGCAAGTTCTCTTTTTGTTTTTCTCTGAGAAATGGCACTTCTAAAACTTTTTCTTCTGCATTCCTGAATCGCAACTTTTTGATGCCAAAGCTGGAGGGAGGCTCATCTTTCAACTGAAAATCAGGGTTGTTTTTTTTGTTTTGTTTTGTGTGTGTTTTTTTAAGGTAAGTGACTAGAAATGAATCAAGGTGGAAGCCTGGTTGGTTACATGGCTCTCAGAATCCTTTGCTGTATCAAATGTATGTGCTTCGGCACTACCTAGGAACAGGGTTTTAAAAAATTATTTCATACTCCATCTGTTTCTTCATAATGTGCTTTTCCTGTTCTCATTGCAGTGATTTGGCCAAGAAGGGAAGAGGACCCTGTTCTTGAAGCTTTATCAAGATTTTTCCTTCTGCTTTCTCTCCGTATTCCTTTTCCTCCTCCCCTTCAACTTTCTCCCCCTTCATTCTTTTTTTTAAATTTATTTCAGAGAGAGATGGGAGAGAGAGAAAATGAGAGCGTCCACAAGCATGAGCAGGGGGAGGGGCTGAAGGAGAGGGAGCAGCAGGCTCCCCGCTGAGCAGGGAGCCCGATGTGGGGCTCGATCCCAGGACCCTGTCATCATGACGTGAGCCAAAGGCAGACGCCCAACCGACTGAGTCACCCAAGTGCCCCCCCTTCACTCTATTTTAATCATGACCATCAGTGGAACTATTGGGGGTTTAGAGGAGTGGCGCCTCCATGTTTTAATACCTGTGCTGGCTGCTCATTTCCCCTGTAAAAGGTACCTATCTAAGACTCTCTAGACTTTTCTGTCTGTGCTATAAACTCTACTGAAGTGCTGTCAAGCAATCTTGTGGTGGAGAACCAGCTTTTTTTAATTTTTATTTTTTGGGGTGGGGAAGGGCAGAGGGAGAGGGAGAGAGAGAATCTCAAGCAGGTTGCACGTCCAGCACAGAGCCCAATGTAGGGCTTGCTCCATCTCACAACCCTGAGATCATGACCTGAGCCGAAATCAAGAGTCAGATGCTTAACTGATGACTGAGCCCCCCAGGTGCCCTAGAAGCAGCTTTCTAAAAATAAAAATTCCAATCTGTTGTGGACCTAACTTTTTCTCAAAAATAATAAATATGAATTCCTAGAAAAATGAAATAAAAGACATACAAAATACGAGCCCCCAATTTTTATTATTAGATTCAACAGGCGTTAAAATTACTGCCAAGTTGCTACAAGAGTGTCTAAATGCTTGCTCTGAATTTCTGTACTTACCTTGTTGCAGACCCATTAACAAATAGTTGAGGGACCAGCACTAGTCAGGAGACCACATTTTAAGTGGCTTTGCTGCCACAAACTGAAGTATCTTGTTTCTGCCTTATAGTGTCTTGGTTTAAAAGAAAAGATGAGAAAACCTACAAGGTCTCCATCAACCCTAAATGTAGACAAACTAACAAAAACTCTCTATGCACCAAAAAGCATACACAGACACACCCCCCCCCCCAATAGCAATACCACTTCCTGGAGAGTTAATACAATGTAATGTTTAAGTATGTGCACTCTGGAACCAGATATCAATCATTTACGGGTTGTATCCACTTGAACTCATTTCCTATAAAATGTAGATGGTAATAATAATACCAACTTCTTCAGGTTGTTAAGATAATTAAATGGTATCCTATACACATAGCTCTTCAAATAGTAGGCACTCAATAAATTTAGTTGTTATTCTTTTCACTTGAGGGAATAAAGAGGTCCCTATTGCCTTGCTCAGCATTTCCATCTGTAAGAAGATGGATCTGTGGTTTACCTGGCAAACTGGGGCCAGCCTTCTCTTCCCCAGCAGCTAGAAACACCTTCTATTGGTGAAGGCAGAATCCCAAGTCCTCTGAGCGCCTTGTGAGGAATATCCCAACCACCTACACTTGCTGCCCTCTGCTGTTGTTGTTGAGAATTATACCAAGCGGAGTTTCTACGGCTGGAAACCGGGGCAACATCTAACCCCACATGGAGGGAATTATCAATAGGTACTTTGTTCAGGATTTGATTGACTACCCAAGAATTCATTTTAAAGTGCCTGTAACATCCTAGCTTTGCACTGTTTCATGGGTGTACCATCGATAACTGCACCTGGACATTGTCATCAAATGCTGATCTTGGTTATCTCCCACTTAGCTAGCTCGTGATTGAACAGGGCCAGTTCTCAAACCTGCTCCTTGCTGACTTCCTCATGTTGGTTTTTCATGCCACCATTTCCCAGATGTCCCGATTTGAGTCCCAGGTTAGCTATGACTTCTCATATCCTCTCAGCTGTCCAAACCCATCTCTCCTTCCCTCTGCAATGGCTTTTAGCGCCTCCAGAGAGGCCCTCTTGCCTCCAGGTGCCTCCCCTTCACAGGTCTTTGAGATCCACTGTTCTAAGGCTTCCCTCTGATCTGAGTCCCTGCTTCCCTGAGGGTTCTTGGTCCAAGTGCCTTTGGCCTTCCACATCTGACCTTCTTTCCAGCCTTATCTCTCGTGACACCCACACAGCGGCCACAGGCTGACTCCCATTCTCCAAATACACCTCATCATTTCCTTTGTGGTTCGGTGGGTGCCATATCTCCTGTCAAAAATATCCCTTTTTGGGCGCCTGGGTGGCTCAGATGGTTAAGCATCTGCCTTCGGCTCAGGTCATGATCTCAGGGTCCTGGGATCGAGTCCCGCATTGGGCTCCCTGCTCCTTGGGAGCCTGCTTCTCTCTCTGCCTCTCTCTCTCTCTCATGAATAAATAAATAAAATCTTTAAAAAAAAAATACCCCTTTTTTCTACCAAGTCTTTACTCCTCATCTCAAATGCTGTTCCTTCCACAGTGTCTTCTCTTTCCATTCCAGGAAGCACTGCTGCAACTTCTATGGAATTTCTTACTTACCACTCAGGTTTCCCTTATGAAATGTGTTGTTACTTGGGTAAATTTCTTCTTATCATTTTTTTTTCCTGACCAAATGTTTTGTTGAAATGTGTGGAATTAATAAAGAAAATGATAACATTAAAAATAATTATTGGACCTCTGCTTTTTAAATTTTTAAAAAATTTTTTAGTGTGGAGATATCACACCCAGTGTGGAGCCCAGTGTGGGGCTTGAACTCACGACCCTGAGATCAGACCTGAGCTGAGATCATGAGTCGGATGCTTAAGCGACTGAGCCACCCAGGAGCCCCTGGATGTCTGCTTTTAATCAAGATGCAGCATAACAAGGACAGATGCATCTCTCACTTGAAACAACAACAAAAAACTGGAAAAAATATATGAAACAGTAGTTTTCAAGATCTTGGGTATCAGGCAACAAGGGACAGTGATTCCACAAAAGGGGGTAAACAAATGAGGTATGACCTATGATATTACCCCAGCTTACTGCCTCGAGAGAGTTCCCAAGCTGTGGCGCAGTGAGGGGGAGCCCAGGTAGAGCCTGGTGGACTCTTTGATTTGGGAATACAGGGCTGAGAGACTGGGGAAAGCAAGGTGGCTCGAGTCGACAGGACAGAGTATTGGAAAAGAAAGCACCGAAGACAGCAAGCTCCAGAAATCTACCTAGGATCCCCTTCAAGTTTCCAGGAGAGTGCTGATCGTTGCAGGTGTGAAAGGAGACAACCTGAGGCCCGGGAAAGAATCATCCAAAAAAATTAGAAGGACAGTATACACTGGGTTGGGGAGAATTAGTGCCTTTTCCCACCAGCCAGACTGGGAAGCCGCATAATTCATGGAGCATCAGGTAGAGACTCAGAAGTGAGAAGTGGTGATGAGCACTGGGTGTAAAATGCAACTAATGAATCCTTGAACACTACATCAAAAACTAATGATGTACTACATGTTGGCTAATTGAACACAGTAATAAAAAATTTAGGGCGCCTGGGTGGCTCAGTTCATTAGGCGACTGCCTTTGGCTCAGGTCATGATCCTGGAGTCCCTGGATTGAGTTCTGCATCGGGCTCCCTGCTCAGCAGGGAGTCTGCTTCTCCCTCTGACCCTCCCCCCTCTCATGTGCTCTCTCTCATCCTCTCTCTCTCAAATAAATAAATAAAACCTTTAAAAAAATTAAAAAAAAAGAAGTGGGAAATAATTAGCCCCAGGATAAACACGCCTCTGGGTCCACCTAGCAAATCCTGAAAGCAAAACCCAAAAGCATCAAACTGTTTCCAAATAACAGAACTGCATTCTAGAACAAAGCACAAGAATATTTAGGGGATACAATTATATTCTCCCAAAAAGGTGGAAGTCTGGCATCTGGTGAAAAGTTACCAGGCATGCAGAGAAAGAAGAAAACATTACCCATTATGAGAAGAAGAAATCAATCAACTGAAACTGACCCAGAACTCACAGATTCTTTCTCTTACATGAGCCCTGCTTAATCTCCACTGCTTTGGAAATTTCTTCACTTATTTTATATATTTTTTTCTAGTTTCACTGAAAATGAAGTTTTCATTTTAACCTTGCTGACTGACGTTCCATGCCATCTTGACACTGGAAGGGTCAAAGATTTATGGAAAATACCAGACAGAGCCAAGGCCAAATAATTATCAGTGGTTAATGGATTTATTATTTATTGAATGACTCCTTAAGCATTAGGTAACCTATGGGTCTAACCATAGGGACAGTACTGAAGTCTGTAATCACATCTACATAACACATATGTTCCCAGTTTTGACAGGTTAACTAATGTCTCCTCTAAGAGGACACATCCATATATCATTATGCATCATGAAAAAGGGTCATGAAAACAGCAGTAGTGTCAAATTATACAGGTATAAAATAGGGTTTATTAGAGAAAAAACTTACTAGTAGAAAGTAGTCAAGTCCATGGGATTCCTCAAATCTAATTATCCCAGAGCTCAGGCCAGGCATAGAGGGTCTCTACACACTGTGGCCAACTTTCCAATCAAGAGGGCCTCTCTGTCCTTAATTTTTTACATATCTTTTACAGTGATGGGTCAGAGTGGGATGAAGTATAGAACTGCTATGATTGGTCAGAAAAGGGGAGCCTCCAGAATCCCACATCTGGTATCTGCTTATTTGACTGAGCCAGCTCAGTTCTGCTGAGCCACTTCTCTGCCAAATGACCAATATGAAGGAGAAAAATGAACCTCCAGAAACATCCAGATTTGTTTCTTTTCAGATGTTTTAGAGATATGATCTGATACATCAATTACCCGAATTTATATAGTCACCAATCATGCTGTAATGGATTTTTAGGATGTTAATTTTGATTGCTATTCAAAATGAAGACAGTTGCCTTAGAACTGTAACCTCACTGGGTCTCCATTTCTTTATTACTTGAAAAAGGAGGGGAAGGGGTTGAGGTTGATGTATTTGGTAGCTACTCTCGCGCCGAAAGTGAACTTAAAATTTGAAAGCTATGATGGCATTCCTATACATATTCTTCTGTCTTCATACCCTGAAGTCTAGCTCTCTGCACCACATTTAAT